TTTCCATATACCCATGTGGGGAATCGAAGAATGTGAAAATTCTGCTTAGTAAAAATTAAAAATCCGATTATAGTGGGGTTTAAAGACTCTGGAAATCTGTGAAATATCGTGAATTTCTCATAGTATGGTGATCTGCGTCTTCCACAAATTTTTGAAAACGGCTGTAATAAAGGTAGGCATAAACAACGTAAGGCAGGGTATTATTCATGAATTTCCTGCGAGGAATTAAAAATCACAACAGAGATTCCGATGTTCATATGATGCAGGTTGTAATGCTAGGGTTTTTTAAATTTATATTCAGTGCAGGTACATTTTATTATACATCTTTTCAAAAAAGTGTGAACGATGATTTCCATATACCCATATAAATCAGGAGATTGAATAGTAAACTTTAGGAATCCACGAAAATATGAATGAAAAATGGCCATAATATAAACAAATGAATTTTTGCCTTGAAATCACGTAAATCATATGTCCTATAATGTGATTTTCATGGTAAAAACCCAAATAATATTTTCCTGTGCGATGATTTTTGTAACTTTATTCTGTTATTACAGTATTGTGGTTTGCAAAAAAGTAGTATTCCGCACGGATCGGATCTGACGGATATTTTCAAGGATCCCGAAAATTCGGATCGGTCCAAGTATGGCGTGTTTAAATAGACGGATTCTCGAATCCAGCTCAGATCTGATACTAGACGGATCGGACCTCTATGTGGATCCTCGACAGATCTTAAGAATCGTCGGATCTTCGGAGATGACGATTTTAAGAGAATTTAATTAATACAGTAGATTAGAAAATATAACTGACAAAAATCAAATCAAGGTCGGGCCGATGTTTTTATCGGCCGGGTCGACCCAGGGTTTTAGAATCGGCCCGTATCACTAATATCTGGGGTATGATATATATTTCAGTTTGTATGAAAACTGGTACGTATGTAAAACCTGTATTACGTAATATAATATTTTGTATTCCCCCCGCGGATTATTGTTAACAAGTTATTCAGATCATCGGTCTTTCTAAATTTTCCCAATTCGATAAAAATTCCTATTTAAATCGGAAAATTATTCCGATTACGTAGTCGTACCGTACACACACTAAAAACACAGTAAAACGTGTGCATATTTTTTTTACAAAACAAATTTTGAAATAATTTTCTTCTCACTATTTGATAAAAATGAGTTTTAACAATAATCCTTCTACAGCACAAAAAAATGACTGGAAAAGGTGACCTCTAAAATATATAAATTATTATAATTACTATATAATTACTGTATAATAAATTCATATTTTGTTCATTACAAAATAGAGAGCAATTAGAGTTAAGGTCAAAATTGATAGAAATTGACGATTTAAGTTTTTCAAAAGCAATTATTGAAAAGAATAATAAACAAAAAGTGGAATTCGATGGATTAAAATATATAGGTGGTGTTGATATAAGTTTTGTTGAAAATAATAATGAAGATGCTGTAGCTTCGTTAGTTGTCTTAGAATATCCAAATTTAAAGGTATGTATAAATTATTGACTACATTATTGGGAATTGATCAAAATATTTACCAACATTTATATTTGAGTGACGCCAAGGGAAGCAAGGCTTTTCCTTTGCGATACTCATTTTAATAAAAAAAAAAAAAAATAGGTAATCTATGAAAATTTTAAAATGGTTAAATTAAAACTTCCTTACATTGCTGGATTTCTGGCATTTCGAGAAGTTACTCCATTACTAGAATTGCTTCAAAACCTTCAACAAAATAATCCTAATATATTTCCTCAAGTTGTGATCGTTGATGGTAATGGTATACTACATCCAAGGAAATTTGGATTGGCTAGTCATTTGGGTGTATTAGCTAATGTTCCTACAATTGGTGTCGGTAAAAATTTTTTACAAATTGATGATGGTGATCAATTGACCATGTCATATGTGAAAAAAGCTGTTAAAGAAAAGTTGAATAAGGGAGGTGATGTGTATTTCCTCCGTGGTGTTTCTGACACAACCTATGGAGCGGTATGTTTTATGCCTATATTGTATATGAAATTTCTTGTGATTCTTACGATCTTGCTAATTTATCGCTTATTTTCATTTAAAAGGCTGTCCGAAGTTTAGAAAACACAACTAATCCAATATATGTATCAATTGGTCATAGAATATGCCTTGAAACTGCAATTCAATTAGTTATCAAATGTTGTCGCTATCGTATTCCAGAACCTACAAGACAAGCTGATGTGCGATCTCGAAAATTCGTCAAAAATCTCATGAAATATAGTTATATGTAACAATATACTTTATATAATATTAATAATAGTTTTTTTTTTAATTTTATTAAATAATTATAAATACGGCATATATTTAATTTAATGTTGGCATTGGCCATGGCTAAATGCAAAACAATGCATTCAATAATTATTTAGCATTATGTGTTATATTATTATTGGTTACTCAAGTAATAAAGAAATAACGTTCTCTATAATCGAAGAGCACACATTTTTATATACATAATGGCAAAATCTTTTTTATTTTTAATACGCGTTTGTTGACGCGGTCGTGGTAATTGATATAACTACATGATAAATGTACAGTTAAAAACAATCTTTAATTCCTATTTCATGATGAATGTTATCAAATTTAAAATCTATGATATAGTCAATTATCGATATTGACAAGAGATATATTTTACAAAATAAAAATGACAATATTTATACTGTATATAATGTATATATTTATATCTATATAATAAAGTAATAAAATAATTTTAGGATTCTCTATATTTTTTAATGGCTTTCAATCTCACAGAAATCAAAGCCATGTGTTATACAATCATTATCTAACCCTTGTTATATATATCTTAACAAATAATGCAATGTTTTTTATGGTTAAAATATTCTTCACCGCCTTCCATTAGTAAATATTTAACGCCATTATCTGATTTATCAAATTTCGGTTCCTCTAAAGAAACTAATAATAAACTAGCTTTTATAGAAATACTTTTAAATTTTCCTGTTAAATTTGAAGCTCCATGAACATTTTCACTTATTTTATTTCTCCCTGTAAATTTAACCATCGGTGCTCGCTTTTTATTTTTAGGTAAAAGTGGTGCAGACCACCATCCTTTAGTAGATTCACATATATCTGGACCTACAGGAGTTAATAATCTGCCGTTTGTAACAAAACTTGCTTTGCTGTACGGTTGGTTCGTTTTAGTGTCATATATATAAATTCTCGCTTCTTGTTCTTCAGAATTAATACCCCAACAAAAATATTGTATGGAATCGTTTATTAATCTTTGATGCCAAACACCACCATGACAAAGCCTTAGACCTTCAAGCTTTGAACCGTTAGGACCAATTGTTCCTTTTGGTTGTGTTGAATCAACTGAGAAAATTGAAGTGAGAGTTTTATTATTTAGACTTTCGAATGCAAAATCGAATGCATATCGAGTTTGTTCTAATTCGAGTAAATCATGGCGCGAAATGAATACCTAAAAAAAAAGAAAAAAGATAATTTAACTCGTTTCTGTGTTACTACTCTAAATAAAAATGATATTAAAAATGATATTATACCAATAGGCGTTTGTTTTGATTTGAGAATGCCTTATGAAATCGTTCTACGATAATTTCTTTTATTCCTTGATCAAAATATCGAGAAAGGATCATGTACCTGCATAGGTTACGGGTTGATAAATGAGAGAAAACTTCAAGCACAAGCTTGTGAGGTAATAAAGTTGGCTTTTTCATATTTATAATTATTATATACTAATTATTATAGTTTAAAAAAAAAACTTTTTTCGAAAAGAATGTGTGAATGGATAAATCAATTATCAAGGAAACTTTAACTAGCCTCTAGGGCTTGTATTTATACTGCAAAACAGAGTCATGTTTTCTAAATTCCCGACTTCGTCTAATTCCGATGTAATTGTATAAAAATAGAACAGTCAAGCCGCTTATTTTCGATATATGGCACTCAAGGAAAAATCTAAAACTGGATAATAATCTAAATTTATTAATATCATGTGATTAAAATCACCTTATTACGGAATAAAACCGCAATTCATTAATTAACGGGTAAAACTAATTTAGATTTACATCACCTTTTCTATAAATAATACCCGAACATTGTCTTTGTAGTTTAATAACGTTTAAACTATTACAGTATATCAGATATATATCATTTTTAGGTATATCGATACTAGTATATCATTTTGTAGGTATATCGATATATAGAGTAAACAGCATTTCCTCAAAAATATATGCAGTTTAACTTCTTCACGGACTTTCTTTTTATAAATTACTATATAGAAAGAAAATACATGACTCTACATGAATCTACATGAACCTGTATGACTTTACACAAATATTTTATACATTCTACTGACCTTCAGTAATATTATACAAAAAAGAAACATAAATTTATATCAAAAAATTACATAATGTTATTGTCGTCTACGTTATCTTCGAAGTTCGTGAGTTTTTGTTCAAATATTGATGATTCTCATGATCCATTGATCAGAATCGAGCGATTTTTTACCATTTTTACCATTCGATTGAGATGGTATAAAAATCGGTCGATTTGATCACAGGATCGCGAGTAGTGATGTAGAAACTTTAAGACATCGGGATATACCGAATCATAACTTTTATTTTAAGTTACGGAATTCGTATGTGCCGTTTGTTGCAATATTTCCTAATATGTCGAAACTATTTTATATGCCATAAACTGATAACTTTATATCCGTAACTACACATATGCTATACTTTATTGTAAAATTTTATTTATGCTTAATCTTAACGTACTGTACACAAATATACTGTATATATCTGAACAAAAAAATTAAAATTAGCCTCACCAAAATTGAGTCTTGCGTAGTTCCACCACGATGTTTCTTTTGTGAAAATTTAACGCATGTCCTTCTAACTTATCATCGCCAATGCTATTGGTTTTTTGAACCGATACATTACCTGTTTTGATAAATAGATTTATTTCGATTTGTAATATCTTTAAGCGCATCCATTATTGTACAACAATCCTTTCATGATGTAGATATTACAATGGCCATCTAGATATAATTTAATTAAAAGGTATGTTATTATATATTAAAGCCACGCTATAAATTAAAGCTACGTCATAAAGTTACGTCTTGATTAAAATTTTTAGAATTTATTTGTCATTCTCAAAAAATTCATTGAAACGATTCTACTGCATCACTAATCGCGAGATATCCCAGTTCGTAAAATTGCCCACATGATTTTTAGGGTGTTCTTGAACTCTTAATGTAATTTGCTACGTAGTGATTGAGATGTTAGGTGTTCGATATGCTACGTAAATCAATGTATCTTCTTTTTTATAAATAGAACTTAATGCTTTATGATTTTAGAAAGCTAATCTTTACTTACTAATATCCATACTATAACTAACTGCTTTAAACTCGGTGTTTATTGTAGATGCTTTGTGTATAACGTAATCAAAATATTTGGTTCTTTGATAAATTTTCAAAGTTGACCGATGTCGACAAAATGTATTCGTGAAACCAACAACAGGAATCTTCAAACGGTATGATTTTAATTATATGGCTATAATAATAAATTATTCAGATAACCGGGTAATTTAATAATACCCGGGTAGAGATTTTCTTGACAATCTCTACGAATAAGTTCTTTTATAGGTGAAAGACCAATTTTATACTTGCTATATGTTTGTTGAAATTTTGCACTATAAAAGAATTTGGAAGGTTAACTTCTGAAATGCTGAGGTCTCAATAAGTATACTACTGTACTAAATAGATCGAGTTACAATATAGCCTATAACTCGATCTAGAATTCTGCGGTGCTCATGCTAAAAATACTTTTTTACATTGTGTTTGATTTTTAAAAAAAATGATTAAAGTTACGTTTATTTTGTGGAGCCAATAGGAAATATTTTTAGAGTGGGCAAATTTATGCATCACAACACTCTAGTTATAACAATTACCATTGCACTCTTTGTTTGTTATAAAGACGCTTAAATTTGGATTTTCTTTGTGGTAATTTACACAAACCAGATAGGAAATATTAAAATATCATTCGTTACGTTACTTCTTTAAATTAGAGTGCTTAGAACAATGATCAATCCTTTTTCATAGGAAGACTTTCGTGTGATTGGCTGATGTAAATCAATTGTCTTAGTAACTTATTTATACAGTTTAAAGTACATTTTAATTAAATGCAATTAGATTCTTAAAATTGGTATTACATTAAATTTGTTTTTTTTTATATATCTAAAAAATTAAACACATGCGAAGATTATAAACAATTGTCCATTATTCAGATAAACTTCAGTTCTAAGGCTTGCTTAAATTCGTCTGAATTTGAATGTTTTCTTTTTGTTGCTTCTAATTTTTGGGTAAATTGTTCTACATCAATTTTACAACAAATTTTCAGTTTGACATCCTATAAACTATGCTAATGAATAGACTAATTATAATTTGAGTACTTGTTCATTAAATTCTAAAAGAAATATACAAGAAGCAAGAATTCTCTAGATTCCTCTCCATTAAAGGTAGGAATTTGAACCACCTAAAATTTTTTACCCGTGAAATATAAGTCATTCACATTAGCAATTTCATGAGTAAACTTTTTTACTTGTTCAATGTTTATAAATTTCTAATATTATAATATTTTTTTCGTTTCTGAAAATGGAAGACTTTTTAGTTTCATACAGTCCTACCATTAATATTGTAACAGCTATCTCTCTATAAGCGATTAGAGACAGAAGAGTGGACTAATAACAAAGAAAATGAAGTAGATAATTTTATGAATATTCTTCAGTATGCAACAAATTCTATTTCTATAGAAGATGGTGAACGATTAGAAACACTTAATCGTTTTGGAACTGGTAACACATTGAAGAAACGTGTAAGTAACCATATTTTTTCTGCGAACTGAAGCAAATTCCAATTTGATGAATATGATGTTATATTTAATCAGTAGTTGAAGTGTATGGTGTCATGCAATCGGTGAGCCATGTTACGCTAGGGTGATCAACACTAATAAATCAAACAATAGTTAATGTCAGTGATTTGAACGCAGAAAAATTTTCTTAATCGGTTAACCGAACCGAATTATTTCATTTAACCGATTACCAACCGGTTAAGATTAATATCTATACTACCTTCGGAAATTCTCGGAGCTTTGCTCTAATTTTTGTCTCGTTTTTTATGTTCATTTATTATCTTTTCGGAACTTTTCGAACCCTTTACTCTTTCTACGTCATTTTGACATTTTCTCATACCATACTGATCCCGCCAACCTGTTGTCTGGGTCAATCGATTAAGAATTTCCTCAACCGGTTACCCGAAATTTATTCGGTTTGGGTCGGTTAACCGATTTAAGTCACTAAGTTATGTACTATGTTTAATTATTATGACCGGATATTTTAAAGGTTAATTTCACATACGAATTTACATATGAATTCGCACTGATTTAGGTACACTTTTTTTACCTAACTAACATACAAAATTGCATCGTATTTTTTTTTAAAACTATAGTTCTAGACTGGCTCTGTGCCGTAATAGAGCCAGTTTTGTAATTTAAAAAAAAAATGCGATGCAATTTTGTATGTTAGTTAGGTAAAAAGTGTACCTAAATCAGTGCGAATTAATATGTATATAAATTCGTATGTGCGTTCATAATAATTATAGTACGTAACTATTGTTTGATTTATTAGAGTGTTAATCACCTAATGTTACGCCTCCGTATTGTGGACTCGTAGAGTAGCTGATTTCATGAATTATCTCACCTATCACTATCGCTATACGCATACTACTGGAATTACTTCTTATGCCGGAATTCTTGATTCCATATAATGCGTATGTTATCAATTGAATTCTATTCGTAAACATAAATAACGGATTTTATATAGTTATTGCATGCGAAGTATGCAATAACGGTTTTATTCAATGATTTACTATCTCAGTTTATGAAATAAGATCAATAACTTTATCATATACCATAAAATAATTGATTTATTTTATAGTAAAGCGTTGAATAATAAAATTTATTTTAGGCATCTATTTCATATCCAATAAATGTTTCATAATGCAGAATCAAAAATTTCCTGCTTGAAGCCTTGAAAATGTTGTTATCTTTAGATAATGCGGTAAAAGACTCCATCCAAATTCCTGAACACAATATCCAAGTTTTTCTATTTGTATTTTTTCATCCTCGTTGGAGGTTGATAACGTAAGATATATTATATATCGGTTAATAAAGTGATAATTCTTTAAAATGATTATATACACAAACCTTATGTACATCTTTCGTTTAAGTTATGCAAAATTCTCTCTTGCATTGGTTACCCAAGCATCTTCTACTCACAGAAGGATGAAAAAGTGAAAGAAGAAGTTAAAAATGAAGAACCAAAAAAGAAAGTTAAGGATGAAAATGAAAAGGAAATATTGTTGAAGACAATTTAAATTTTCCAGAGCATTAGTGAGAATATAATGCAAAAAATAATAATAATTCTTACATAATCACGAGAAAAAGCGAAAGAAAAGGTTAAGGATGAAGAAGCAAGAAAAAAAAAGCCAAGGATGAAACGAAAAGGAAAAAGTAATGTTTACTGAATTTGTAATCAAAAGCTAGAATAATCATTAAGTCGAATAAGTTATGGTTTTAGCCTTTCTCGTCTCACATTCTTCGCAAACCTCGATTTTCAATGCAGGATTCTGCTGTCACGGGGTGAAATAAAAGATTTATTAATGGGGCGAATTAGAATTATACAAAAAATCAAATTAAAGGCGTTCACCAGGGGCGTGACGTGATGATTTGGCAAAGAGTTTTAAGAAATTTATCAAATTAGAAGGTCTTTATTATTAATTATTTATTTATTAAGAATTTAACCCAAAGGTTCTTATCTTTCTTACAAAAGCAAATCTACAATTTTTTGTATCTTTCTATCAAATAAGAGCTCAAGGGACTTAAGTTAAATGTTTTATCTCGTTATAATCAAAGATTTCAATTTAAGGCTTCTTTAAAAAGGGAATTAGTTATTATTGATAAAGTTTGCATGACTTATTAACTGAACAAATCGTTCATGACGGCGCAGCTGGAGTATGTTTCGGAAATGTCACCTTTAACCCGTGACATTGCCAATCCAAAGATGTATTGTCGCTTCTCACGTTCTCGGATTCCGTTCCTGATCGAGGTTGCACGATTGAAATGACCTCGGTAAGGATGCACGATCTTAAAAATCATGTTTGTTTGTTTGATTTAAATCTGTTAAAAATGTATTAATACAAAATTCAAAAAAAAAAAACATGTTTCGTGGAAGATCCTCGTCAAAAGGAATCCGTTTAAACTTTACATAAGTTGCTGAACCTGATAAACATGATCGAACAGCACTCGCCAAAAATGTAATCATTGCGATGAAGACTGTGTTGATTAGTTGACCAATTAAAAGGCCATTTATTAAAATGTAAAAACTTCCAAGAAATGTATAAGATTAATTAAAAAACTCAAAAAACAGGATTCTGGTTCTTCAAATAATTTATTCACAAAACTTATTCAATGAGTTAACATAGTGGCAATATTGTAAAGCTTGGACTTTCAATATCTACAAAAGTAAAACTAATATAGAATGAAAGGTTGTATTGGCAGATAAGCAAATTTCGCATTTAAAAATATTAGCTATCGATAGCTTTGTAAAAAAAAAATTTCTCAACTGAAAATTAAAATTAATTAATCAGAAGCAATATTTTCAGTTTCAGTAAAATCTTGTCTCTGACTTCGATGGTTTAAAAAAAGGTTTAAACCAATAAAAAAATGTTTAAAAAACTGCTTAACCCGTTTTTTTACCATCCCTAGATTTCGGTGGTTATGCCTGTACGTTTGTGATCAAGCAAATTGATCATATTTTACAAGTTATTTTAATTCAAGCTTTTCGAGATTGTTAGGACATAAATAAAAGACACGATCACAAGCACAAGAGTAATTAGTTGCGTTGCATTAATATCTCTCAATTAAGACCAGGTATATTTCTGTCCATCGCTCGAAAAATTCTGATTTTGTCCTAATATAAATTAAGTTTTCGTGATTATTGTATTCAGTAAAACGAATCAAATACTTCTCTTGTAGCCAAAATACCGTTCCTGATGGGTAAGAAACATGTTAATTTATTTTATATACTGTTCTTGATAGGGTTCTTCTAATTGCTATAGCTGAGTATATGAAGAGAAATTGACCTCGTTCTTTTTTAGCACCTTATCAAGAATTGTAGCAAATCTTGGCCCATTTGAACCATAATCAGTACATCATTATTGACTATTAAAAAAAAATTAAAAAACTTTGTTGCATTGTGACGTTATAATGTCATATGAGCCTTTCGATGAACACTTCAAGAGAGGATTAAAACTTATTTATTTTAAAGTTAGTCGTTTATTTCGTCTTAATTATTTATTTTTTTTCCATTGAATTATGTAAATAACTTTTTCATATTCGACCTTCATTATTATCTAAGTAAATTTTTTTCTCGAAACAATCTTTTACAAACTTTTGTCGTTTCTACCAGTTTGTTTTCAGAAAAAGATTTTCAAATGCACATCGTGTAGTAGCTTTAGATGAAGATGATGAGTATGATTTCTTTACTCTGTTTTAATCCATTTATAGCTAATTTAATTCAAAATTATTATATTGTTATTTAGACTTACCATTTTTATGCAGTTGAATTAGTTTGCAGCTCCTACAGTAACAGGTAATTGTTGCAGTTTTTCGTTTCTGAACTGAAGGTAATAATGGATTTAATAATAATACTTGTGCACTGGTAACGTTAACTACGAGAGCTTCTTTGGCTCTTTCAACTATCAATTTCAATTTTTCATTTTTGCTTCATTTTCGGTTAAAGATGGTTCAATGAGTGAAATATTAAAAATTCATAGATGCGTTATTAAAAATTCATGGATGCGTTATTAAAAAACGTCATACAAATTTCAATAACGACGGACGGATCAGATTTTTTTTAATGGGTCGATAACGATGTACTGATTTTATTGTGGATGACCCAAATGGGTCAATATCAATGTTTTTGCACCTTATCACTGAAGTTAGAGCTCTACAGTACGTGTCTAGTGATAATACATACTGAAGCAATGAACAAAAAATATTTATATTTTGCATAATAATTTTATTAATTTAAAAAAAAGTTGCGGCTAAAACTTGGAAAAGTTTTTACATAAATTATTGCGACTCATAGATTTTTTCATATTATTAATATAAGAGTTTACAAGCTTTATTTCTCATGCAACTATGTCCCCACATTATTATTATTATTCTTCTTCTTTTAAACTCAGCTTTAACTTTTTTGGCAGATCGGACGGGACGGGACGTGTTCTTGTGTCCATGCATTTCAAAAGTCGATCGGATATCAATAATTTTTCGGTTTTATTCTGAATACTTCGTTATAACGGGCGCGGTGTGCTTTCAGAGACAAGTGAGAATAAAACTTGTGCATAATATGCATATATATGCATAATCTTATGAGCACTGCAGTATTAAGCTACGTACAGTACTAAGAATTAAACTTGTCGGCTACGCTGGCGCTTATATATTTTTAAATCTCGGAAAATATACAATTAGAGAAATTCTCGAAATTTTTTCGGTAAATTATCGAATACTAGTAGAGAATACATTATTCCGCAATACGTTATTAAAATATTAAACTGTCATGATATTGTTGAATTTAAAGAATAAATTTAATAGATTCATTTTAATTCAAATTACTATACACTTTGTTACACTTTACTTCCACTTTGTCTTTAAACAAAGCACATATATGTGTGTATTCGGAACTTTACTATAATGGAGTAATACTCCAGAACTAATTTTAAATAATCATCATTGCACTATAGTGGATCAGTAATAATCCGTAGTAGTTAGGTTAGATGAATGTAAAATTGTAAATTATGTTAATATATTATTATGCACAGTATATAAATAGAAATATATAATGTAAGGTTAACTCCGTTTACGTAGAAATGATGGTCCTGAAATAGAAAATAGATAATAAAAAATTATTTTTTTAATTCGCATGTCTTTCAGAATTCAATAGTGATACGATAACATTACGATAATATGACACAATACCCAACTAAAGAAATTCAATCACGGAAAATTATAAAGCAATTATTATGGTTTCACAATTAATGATGCATTACGGCTATGACGTAAAGGTCATACTACCTGAGGTTATATTGCCGTGAGATAGTTGTCATGAGTGATATATAGCGTTACCAGTGTCTAAAATTCGAATGTGCGGATCCAATCAAATTGCTTAATTTCCGAAATTAAGCAATTTGATTGGATCCGCACATTCGAATTTTAGACACTGAGCGTTACTACCCTGAAAAATTTCGCTGGCCAATCAAATTTCAGTAAATCAATAGTTTTGTACGAGATGGTTCATGCACTTTACACAATTATAATAAATTTTCGTATATCAGCCAACCAAGTTGCTGAATATGCATAACCAAATCCTCTTTTGCCAATTTCTTTAACATTAGATGCGAAATAACGCCTACTTGTGCGTTATTTCGAATACACCCATGTGCGTTATTTCGAAATAATAGTTGATTTTCTAAATCCAAAATAGACCTTCCCATAACCGCACGTTTTTGGTAAAAGTGCATTTATATTCATTTATGGAGTATAACGATAATATTAAATAATTTCATTAGACCGATCAAATTATGTGCACTTATCATTATAGGGAAAGTGCATGTGAAGTGCACTTAAAGAGAGTGCACATATGGATCGCAACAAATTATGCGCTACATTAGGATGCGCGTTAATTCGGGACGCTATTTCGAAATAAAAGTAAATCCAATACAGTCAACCTTCCATAACTGCACGTTTTGGGTAAAAGTACATTTATAGAATATTCATTTATGAAGCATAATCTACATATAACGATAATATTAAATAATTACAGTACAATAGACTGATAAAATTATGTGCACTTATCATTATAAGGAAAGTGCATGTACTTATAGAGAGTGTGCATGTGAAATGCACTTATAGAGAGTGCACATATGGAGTGCCGACTGTATATCATTTATCACAACAAATTATGTGCTACATTAGGATGCGCGTTATTTTGGGATACCCATAGCGCTAATGTCGAGAACATACTGTATAAGTTATTTTTTGAAGGATCCGATTTTCAAAATAATGCCCACGAGCGCTTATACAGTAATTTGTTGAATGAAATCCGTTCAATTGCATTCCCAGGATTCTAAGCTGAAATTCTCTGATGCAATCATTAATATTCACATTTTTACTTGTTGGTATACATGCCAAACACCATGCTTTAAACGTGTTGTCTTTATTACAATGCATACTTTTGCTGTATTTAGGTTACTTTAATCGTTGTCAAATATTATTTTTTTTATATCATTAAAAATTTATTGTAATACCCACTGGCCGAGTAGAAAGGCAATCTGAAGGGTATTAATTAGTAGTAAATAAGTGTTTGTAAACATGAATCACTTTTTTAATCCACCGAGTAATAGATCATTTTTATATTCGCCCACTAAATTAAGGTGAAGGTGAATGACTGCATACGGTATTAATACAGCATACAACACTTTATACTGCATGCGGCACTTCTACTTATACGGCAAATATGCCATATCGCTGTGATATTTTTGCTGGGGTAGCTACCACCTCTATTCACAATAACATGCGGATGTTAAATTTTGGTTTGTCGAGATAAATGACTACAACTAATAATTTGCGTGTGAGAATTCAAGTCACAGTTACTCTTTTATAGGCAAGACTCAAGAATTATTCAATACTCGAGTATGAATTATAAAAGAGCATTTAGATAGACAACTTACAAATAGGGATGGTTTATGAGAATTCTCTTTATTAGGAAGGGTTCAAAGGGTATCTTCTTCTGCTCTAGCTTAAGGGAAGACTAATGTTTATATACCCGCACAAAGAGACATCTAATGATCTAGTGGTATCTTTCTCAAAAACATTGTTTTATGATAACACCATTTGTTATTTGAATATTAATTTATTTATTATATTTTCACCTAATAATGTCTACGTACATATGAGCATTATTTTTAAAAATTATATACGTATTACCTAAATTATGTAATATTGTAGCTTAATATAAACAATAATTTTTTCTTTTCATCAAATCGATATGAATAATATGGAAATTAAAAAGAATAATAATAAGTTATCGGGTAGTGCCTGCCTGATAACTTATTATTATTTATTTATATTTCTTTCTTAAGTGTAATAATTAAATTTTATATATATTTTATATAGAAATAACTAGCCAATTAATCAGTATGAGATGCTAAGTAAAAATGTCTTTGCTCTCAAAACCATTTCCAAATTATAACTCTAACCCTAAATACTAACCTTAAAAAATTTGAGCTAAATATTATATACGCAACTATATACCAATAACTTTTTTAACATATCGGTGAATTTGCGAAATTGACCTAAATTAAGGTTCATACATTTTAACAATGCTAAGCCGACCCAAAATCTCTGCTATTATGCATTCTGCAATTGTTAAATCCAGGGGCCCTAATTTAGATCCAATATGCCGAAACGAAAAATAAAAATTACTAGTAAATTTTTATATAAAATGCCAATAAACGTTTATTGGCTAGTTATGATTTTTTGCACCATATAAAATACAATAATGATTTTAGTATCCAGATTTATTCTTTTGTTCAAACTTAATTCTTTTTTTTTCATAATAAAAAAAAAAACAAAATTCTTTAAATTTACAAAGATGTCAGTGCAATAAAAACCAACCCTTTTTATACACCATATAGTATAGGCAATTCAATGTTTACATGGTCTAACATTTACAAACTATATTCACTCACATGGCCAACACTTTCTTTCATTCTTAAATCTTATTATTCATCGGTAACACAACCCTCACTAGCAGATTTAACACTTTTAATGTATTTATATAAAGTACCGTTTGTAGCCCTGTAGGGTGGTGCACTCCATCGCTTTCGTCGTTCCAGAAGTTCATCATCAGTAACATCAAGATGAATTACTCTTTTTTCTGCATCTATAGTAATTCGATCTCCATCATTAACCAATGCAATTGGCCCTCCTACCTGGGCTTCGGGTGTTATGTGACCTATGATAAATCCCTTTTTATTTAAATAATAATTAATTAGGAATGGAAATTGAACGATGAAAAAAAAGATGGTTATTTGAAATGACCTACATGACTTCCACCTGAAAATCTACCATCAGTTAATAAAGCAACATCATTTCCAAGTCCTGCACCTATTATCACACTTGTAGGTGTCACTAAAAAACAATTCTTATTTTAATTCATGAAGAGAATGTATAGCACATATTCGAAAATGCAATAAATAAATACTTACACATTTCAGGCATTCCAGGACCACCTTTAGGTCCTTCATACCTAATAATAATAACTTGCCCTTTTTTAATTTCACCTTGTTCAAAGGCTCCCAACATATCCACTTCACTATCAAAAACTTTAGCAATTCCAGAAAAAGTCAACCCTTCCTTTCCAGTAATTTTTGCCACAGAACCTTCTGGTGCCAAATTACCATATAATATTTGTATATGACCTGTTGGTTTAATTGGATTTGATAATGGATGAATTATATCTTGAGTTTCAAATGATAATGATGGAACATTTGAAAGATTTTCGGATAATGTTTTTCCAGTTACGGTTAATGTGTCCCCATGTATTAGATTATTTTCTAAGAGATATTTTAGGATAACTTTATTATAATGAGAGATAAAATTTAATAATTAGAAGATTATAGAAAACATAAATAAAAATCGTTAAACATTTATAATTTATATACTATTAACCTGGTATACCACCAATCTTATAAAGATCTTCCATAACATATTTACCACTATTTTAGAATAGTTACATTAAAAAAATATTAAAGCAATAAATTTAACAGATTCTAATCTAAAGTTGCAAAGTCACCAAAGATAATAATAAATAATAATACACGAACCTAGGTTTTAAATCTGCCAAAAATGGAGTGGAATCACTAATTTTTTGGAAATCTTCCAATTTTAATTCTAATCCAACAGATTTTGCAATAGCAATTAAATGTAAAACAGCATTTGTTGAACCACCCAAAATCATTGTAAGAACCATGGCATTTTCGAATGCTTTTCTTGTCATAATATCTCGTGGTTTAATATCTTGTTCAAGTAGATTACGTATTGCCTGCCCGGCATTTAAACATTCTTCTTGCTTTTCAGGATATTCTGCAGGAATTGAAGAACTATATGGCAAAGACATTCCTAATGCCTCAATTGCGGAAGCCACTATATGAAATTAAACATTAAAATAAGTCAAAATTTTTTATGATATAATAGATTAGTAATATTGATAAATAAAAACAAATAACCTACTGGTGTTGGCAGTGTACATTCCACCACAAGCACCAGGACCGGGGCAAGCATGTTTCACTATATCGTAACGTTTTTCTTCAGAAATAGAACCAGCAATATAAGAACCATATGATTGAAAGGCTGATACGATATCTAGGACGTCTTTGCCACATGAGGATCGGCCAGGACGAATCGTACCGCCATAAACCATTAGAGAGGGACGATTAAGACGTCCCATCGCAATTAAACATCCAGGCATATTTTTATCACAGCCTGGTAAGGAAATGTTAGCATCATACCATTGTCCACCCATTATCTTGAAACATTAACAATTATTGAAGAATTAGCATGATAGTTTATTGATAAGGTTTATAAGATAGAAGATGAATGAAATATACCGTCTCGATAGAATCTGCGATAAGATCCCTACTTTGAAGAGAATACCTCATCCCTGATGTACCCATACTAATAGCATCACTTACACCAACAGTATTGAACCTATAGCCAATAAGGCCCACTTTTTTGACACCTTCCTTGACTTTATTAGCTAGATCAAGAAGGTGCATATTGCACGTATTGCCTTCAAACCAACTGATTGTTTTATGATCAGTGAATCATTAGATATCATTAAAAAAATTTTTTTTTATTTTAATCTTAATGAAATCATAATCTAGAGGTTAAATAGAAACTTCCGTTTTTCAAGTATACTTACACACTAGCAATTCCAACTTGAGCTTTGTTCATATCCTCGGGTTCCAAACCAGTACCATATACTAAATCCAGAAAGAATAAATAAACAGCAATCATTTTTTACGTGATTTTTTTTTTCAATTTACAATCTTTGAGACGCTACATACTTACATACAGCTTGAGCAGCACCATGTGCCTTTGGCTGTGTAATATTTTTACTATACTTGTTCAATTCTTTATTAACAGAACTACCATGTCTGATAATTTTATGTCTATGAAATAAAATACGGGATGTTATCATAATTATGAATGGATCAAAAAGATAACTCGATTACTTACATTTGAACTTTGCCTACGAGCTGTCCTGCGGCACCAGAACTTTTTCTTCCAAGATTAGACATCATGATAAATCTAATTGGATTATTGAATTAAAATATTGTAAATAATTACCAAGAAGTGCTGAATAAAGTTACTTTACAAAATATATCCGTATATAAATTTTAGGAATGATTATCTGACAAGGTAATTCAAAAGTTTGGTTTGTGATAATCGAACCACGATTTTTCTCAAGAAAGTTATCGACATTGAAATCAATATTATAAATAGCACTTACGGCTAATAATTCACTAAAAGCTGACGGTAAAAGCTTGTTTTTAATACAGTAATATTACACAGAATTTTAAGAACATCCATAACGATAGTAGAAATTCATTAAACAAAACTGCATAAAGCAAGCTGTATATTACTTTTTTTAAATGTTCACCCTTACCGTTACAGAACTTTAGTAAACGATGTAGTGGAGTTGTGTGAAAAGTAGATTATCAAATGTAAATTATTCGTGTAACAATAATTAGAATCCATGTGAAATCTACGATAAAAAAAAAAGATTAGCAGTTAATGTTAATCAAAAAATGCTTTTACGAAGCGGAAAAACAATTAAAAATTTTACATCGATTAATTTTATAAGAGATCGATTCAGATTCAGATCCGGATCAATAATTTTAAATCAATCATTATCTTCACAATTAGTTAAAAGAAATTATGCAACAAATTCTTTAATTAATATTTCAAATATAAATGCTAATAAATATTCAAAATCAAAATTTAATACAAACCAATTTATTCAAAAAATTGTTCTAGCACTTTTTCCTATTGCAGGATTTTGCCTTGGTACTTGGCAAATTCAACGTTTACGTTGGAAAGTTGGATTAATAGAAGAATGTGAAGAAAGACTTTCTAAACCTCCAATGATTTTACCAAAAAGAATAAAGTAAAAATATTATGTTTTCTATTATTTATAATAAATTTGATAATAAAAAAAATTTTTTTAATATATTTAAATAAATACATTAAAAGATTAATTTAAATTAAACTTGTAGATTAGAAGTTTTAAATGATTATTTCTATAGACGCGTTAAAACTTTAGGAAAGTTTCTTTATGATAAAGAAATGTTGTTGGGGCCAAGAACTTTTGATAACAAACATGGATACTATGTTATTACACCACTAGAACGGGAAAATGGGTGCATTTTTATTTTTATTTATTGTAAGTACTTTATTTCAAAGATACCATAATATTAATTAATTTATTTTTTAGGACCACAGTGTTAGTAAAACGTGGATGGATTTCTAAGGACAAAGTTAATCCCTCTACGCGGAAAAATAACCAAGTACTTTGTTTAAAATTATGAATAAAATATTAGGTAATTACACTTTGAAACTATTGTATTTAAATTTTTTTAAAAAAATTATTTATAGTTTGAAGGAATTGTTAATGTTGAGGGAGTATTAAAAAGTGCAGAAAAGGTATAATATTGACTTGTGTTAAAAGATTTGCATTTAGATTTATTTCATAAAATTTACATTAAAAAGTTGTGAGAATAGTAAAAAAATAAATTACATAAAACGGTACAGAAAAACTGGTTCACACCCAAAAACAACCCGGATCGAAATGAATGGTTATGGACTGATGTAGAAACTATGGCCGAAAGAACAGGGGCGCAGCCAGTATTGATTGAACAAAGCTTAGGTATTATTCTTTAAAAAGGTTTTCATTCCAACTCTTATTGATTTATATATTATTATTATTTTTTCTTTTAAATCAGAGGGATCACCTTATTTGATCAATCAAATGATTGAGGATGGCATTCCAATCGGAAAAATTCCTAACGTTGATTTACGAAACACACATTTGCAATATGCGATCACATGGTAAAAAGTATTCAAGAAATTGTGTTTTGTTACGTATATGCGTTTCCTAACCACTATATACTATTTAGGTACTCATTGTCAATTGCAACGAGTGTTATGTTTTATATGCTCATGAAGAAACCACCAGCCGGACACTTTAATCGTAAAGTGATGCAAGGATAGATGTAATTTCATTATAATGGTTTTAACAAGATCGTTTAATTTAGAATGCATATCACAATTTGGTAAAGAATGAAACTGTTGTTATTCAGTTATTATGGCTTGAACTTTATAGGCCTCTAAATTATAGTTGTTAGACGAAACCATGTGATGCTAAATGTCACATATCAAATCAATTAAAATTAGGTTAAATTTTTAGGTCTTGGTATTTTGTGACAGGTGATATTTAGCATCACATGGTTTCGTCTAACAACTATACTCTAAATCAAACCATGCAACGTTTTCAAATAATATGAACACTTTCAATGAGTTATTTTACTTTAAAAATAAATACTGTTCGAGTTCTCAAAGTTATTATACGCAGAATCGCTAGCGGTTTGACAGCCTGCTAATGAAATTCGGCTTTAAACAGTTTAATTCGTGATTATAATATTAAGTTATAAGTTGATCAGTTCGTATCTGTAAAAATGCTATTGAGCTTAATCTATCGATTTTTGCAATCGTTTTATTTAGACCATACAAAATTTTCTCGGAAATCAGGCACAGATATTATGTTTTAATAGCATTCGTGACCAACAATTAGAGTGAGGAGCATAGGAAATTTTTTGGGCATGCCTTGGACTAGAGGCATGTCTCTTCATGCCAATATATACATACCAATATATGTTTTTTAAATATCCAAAAGGGCTTTCCTTTTAACTTAAAGGCATGCTAAAACCTATATTCTTGGACTAAATATTTCGGATTTCGGCTATAACTTGAACCAGTTTCAAAATCCCAAACCGATTCCGATATTCCAACTCAAACTGATATCGAAATTCCAAATTACTGTAATCTGGCACGGAAATTTGGGAATCAGGAATTTGAAATAATTGAAGTTCGGAGCCTTAATATCTAAATTTAATTTTATAGTTTTTTCCCTAAAAAATATATCATTTAAAATAACAAGGCTACCACAAACTGGATATAAAGAACTCAAAATGTTTAAAATTTTATAACAGTTCAGTATAAAAAGGGCTATGGTTTCTTAAGAAACATGGTAATTTCTATAATGACCTTTTTTTCTTCCAGAACCATTAGTTCATTATAGAAAAAGTTGTCCGTATTTTAAGATTCATATTTAAATTTAGCAATTTTTATTATACTGTATAACATCTTTAGCAGAACTACATCTAGCCAGCACTAACTATAAATTAGAAAATTGGGTTATACCATTTTTTTCTCCTTAGGTACGTACGTACATGAAGATATACAACAATTGTAGAATGACAATAATAAATAGAATGCTCTCAATTTAATAAATTACATTTACTTGATTTAATAATCTAAATGCCAATATAAAATAAATAATCAAAATTGCTTACAGTCGGGAATTTTTAACGTCATCAATGCATTTGACTCTCTAAAAACATATACATATATTAGACTACATTTTAAATCCAATTTAAGAAAATAAATATCATTACCTGCGTTTACTTTCAGTAATTTTTACAATTAATAAAAATATTACTAATTTTTTAAAAAAATATGAATAAATATTAATATTATTAAAAGTTTCAAAAGTCGACTAGTATAAATAACTTGTGGATGTGTCTGATAACTGAATTGTGCCGATTTGGCATGATTATAAGTTAAAAAATTTTGTCAATGTCTTTAATATTTTTAACTTGTTTGAATAGTTCAGTTCTTCTATTTTTCAAATTATAAAAAAATTGATGCAGCGTATTAACTAATTCTTCAGCAGTTGGCCAGTTTTGAGGTTCTGCGTCTAAACATTTACTCATCACCTATAATCTAGGCAAATACATGTTGCTAAGGTTGGATTAATTCTGTACCGTATTGTCGCGAAATAACAGGCCGGGGCGTTATTTAGAAATTCATGCCCCCTAAAAATAGTATCTATGGTTTCAAAATAACGCGCCCCCTATATCTAGTTGATGAGTAAATTCACACTTAAGGATGGGTTCGACTACGAACGACTACGAACGGCTACGATTTGATTTTTTGTTCTTGAGTTTTTAATTAAAGTTGTTCAGAATTAAATTCTGGTCATCCCAAATTATAAGTAGAAAGAACGATGCCTTCTCTGGAACTCGGAATTTTAAGATTTGTAATGTCATACTAGCCGTCGGCTAATAGTCGGCTATAACCTTAAAATTCCGAGTTCCAGAGAAGGTATCGTTCTTTTTACTTATAATATGGGATGACCAGAATTTAATTCTGAACAACTTTAATTAAAAGCTCAAGAACAAAAAATAATCTCAGTATTTAGCAAATTAGCTATGAATAATCGTAGCCGTTCGTAGTCGAACCCATCCCTATTCACACTAAATCAAGGGGTCCGTTAAAACCAGGTGCGTTTAATATATTGATCTATATACTGTATAAATTATATTCTTATACATATCTATATAACCTGCTAACCTTAATTACATCAAAAAAGTAACCCTAACTTCATCGAAAAAGTAGTTCTAGCACACCTGGCTTTAACGTTCCCCCAAATCAGCTGTAAATTATATTGTTTCAAAATAACGCCCCGGCGCGTACTCTAAATAACGCGCTGGGGTGCGTTATTTGTATTGGAATAACGGATGTGATTTCTATCATACTGGCTAATTAGTTAGTTTGTATGGATACATATGTTAAAATAGTATGGTAACTCAAATGATGTTAATTTCACTACTATATCTAGAGTTTTGCTAGGTAAGTAGTGATGTAGAGATGTAAGCAGCAGGGTTATACTGTACATATTATTGAAGGTAAGGAATTGATGAAGTTTAAATTTGATAGAGGAAAAAAGTATTGAATCTGTAGAAGCATTCACCGAGGACAATAGGGAGTAAGTTAGAGAAAATTGCTTGCTAAATTTATTGTATAATGAGATTTTGGGTTGTAGTCTCATAGTTGAATTGTTACAAGAAAGGTAGATTGAAATAATCCAAAATTTAAAGTTATGTTTGAAGAAAAGATCTATAAACATAATATACTTTCTTTTTTTTTTTTTAGGTTCAATTTAGTTATTCTAAAATCATTTTTGAAATTATATCTTTGGTCTGCTTTCTTTGGAGTTATTGTGTAATTTTATTACTTTTAAAGTTTTTAAAATAAATTTGGTATTTTTGTTATATGAATTTTGTATTATGCTATTTTTTATTTCTCTTTAGGTGACTATGTATAGTTATGGCGTAGTAGTTAAAAGCAGATAAGTACTGTAATTATTTTTATTATACAGACTATATATAGTATACAGAAACAAAATTTTGTATACACTCTTTTTTTGATGTGTAATACTACACAGAAAAAATTAACATTTGTAAGTAGTGTGCATAGTTGCAAATAGTTTCTCATGGTTTTTTTTTTATTATTTGCCAAACAAAAAGGTTTATAAATTGTACAGCATTTACATAGTAAATTTTAATTAAAAAATTAACATTGGGTAGTACTTATTCAGTGTGTAAATAGATGACCACGAGTGAGTAACATTATTATTTCATATTGTGTAAAAGTTTTTTTTTTAAAATAAACAATGACATTGTATGTTAAATTTTTTTTAATTAAATAAACTTTGTAACTTGATTTTTAAAAAAAAACTAATCATGTTATTGATTTTGATTGGTCAATAACGGGTGCATGGCCATGCGGGTGCGTGCAATCTTTAAACCTATAATAACAGATAATAATAAAAAAAAACTTGAATTTCCAAATTGGTAAAATCCGGTGGCATTTATGCAAGGATGTAAGAACGGGATTCGCTGATAGCCATTTCTCTGTCAGTTTACACTTATTCTAAATCGGGTCAATCATAACTCTAAATCGAGCTAAGACTTAACTGTTAGCGAAATGAGTTAATACCATTCGTAAACGTATATACGCATGTCATTCTACGTAATATTAAAAGTTTATAAGTGTGCATACTATCGACAATTACATAATTAGCGTATGTACATCTGTTCAAATCTGTACTACTGTAGGTGTTACTTACTACCTTAGATTCGTATTTGCGCACCCATAATCCTGCCGATCTACTCGGAAAAACAGTGACATGTGAAAATTTACGGACAAGGTAACGAAAAAATCTTAACACAAATCGTATTTTTTTAAATACCTGATACGTACGTACGAGGATTGACTTGAGTCTCTACAACATCATTCTAATTTTCAAAATCTTATATAGATATACACAGGAGAATGATGTCATCACGTGAACATGTACGTCAGTTTTTCAATTAGCGTTATCGTTTTAGAAACCGGTAATCATAACAGCTAAGAGATGTAATTCACTATCGGTAAATTCCTGTTGATTAAAGCGTCGTTACTTACCGTTCTGTTTTTTTTTTTACCATTACCTTCTAGGCTATGGTTTGCTGCATTTTACATCAAGAATTACAGTATAAATATGCAGAATTTCATGCTTATTATTGCAGTGCATGAACAAGCATCTGAGGCCTGCACGAACGAGCTGAGTCTAAAGAATTTGCCAAGAGAATAGCAAAAAAAACGAGCAAATTATATTTAAAACGATCCAGACTAGACTAGATTTTTATGTTTCAACCGGAAGGCCGGCAAAGTTATCTTTTTAGGTCAATACAGATACATTACGAGCAGATCCATCCATCGTTTTGAATATGATTCATTATTCCGCAGACTCTTAGAATATTTCATTTAAATATAAAATTAATATTATTATCCCATAATGATATGTAATATTGTGCAAATTGAGCATTAATGCTGACAAGTTATAAACTGATTCGACTTATTCAACTTTGTGAAACTTAACGCTCGGTACTAATCATTTTTCTGTTTTGTATGTACAAATAATCTTTATGCATATCGTCTGCTTTCACTACAAATTCTTTTTTTTACTCTTAAATCTCAAATTTCATCAGTTTCTGCCAACTTGATCTTTTCTCTTTTTTTATTCTTATATCTTTCTTTAAATCTATTGAATAAATCATGGCTCATGTGAGTCATACTGATCTTTAAATTTTTTCAAGTCATTTATT